GAAATAAACACTAATTTTTAAAAAAGAAATAAGAAATTAAGAAGATAAGTGTAATTCTAAAGAATCTATATTTATGGGTCTGTTTTGATTTGAACAAAGATTTCATTTTCATCATCACAGAATGGAGTTAATGTAGATTTATGGAATGCTTGAACAGATAATGTTTGGATATTATTCATCACAATGACAATATGTCTGTCAATAATAAATGAAAGGCAAACATAAAAACAAATAACCATGAAAGAAGGCAATGTGACAATCCATGGATTTGTGAGATATGAGATTCCAATAATGGTCAAAACACTGAAACTAATCAGATATAATGAATGTTTATTAAATTTGCTAAGAGAAATTAATATTTTTTTATAGTAACTCCAAATGACTTAATAAACAACAAACAAAGGCAACAAAGAAAAGCAACATAACAAAAAAATTAATGAAGAAATTACCACTATTCCTATAATTCCCAACTTAATAATAACTGATAAAAAGATATGAGGAAGATGAACAAAATTTAATAAAACTAATGAAAGTGTATAATGGAAAAATGAATGTAAAAGATAAGATTGTTGAGTTAAATGAATATTTTCAAACGTTATCTGAAATGGAGAATAAATAATAATTGACTGTTCTATAAAATATTTTCTAAGAGCAATATTTACAACAAATAAAGTGGCAATAAAGGTAATAATAAATATATCAATATTTAATGTTAATCTTTTCATTTTTAAAGACATTAACACTAATTCCACTCCAATAATTTGCCAATTTAACATAAACCCAATACTTATTTGGTGAAGAATAGAATAATAATTAATAATAACAAAACAAATACTGAGAAGAATAAGATTAAATACTATTGTTTTATCACGTTCAATTAAATATGGTTTAAGTGTTGAATTTTCTTGTTGATTAATAATACTTTTGTCGATTCTATTAATCATAGGACTGAATACAATCATTCCTATAACAAGAATTATTGGAATATAAATTAAAATTTTACCTTTTGAGTCAAGATTATGATATAATGTCTTATTATCATTTTTAATTTTTGTAAGAATCGCAATTATGTTTCTGATTTTCTCAATACTTCTTTCCATCTTGTTATTATTATTTTCAAGATACTTTTCTAAGTTATTTATCAGAAAAGAATTAATGACAAAAGGAAAAGAACTATTAATTAATATTCAAAACAAATTAATGTTCAGTTGGTTTTTTAAAAAAAGTACTTCTTTAGAACAACATACTAAGTTTATTTCTAAAACATCTTGGATTGGTGAACTTAATCAACCTATTAATAAAGAATTTATCCAACAATTATTTTATGAAACATTTGATTTTGAGAATTATACAATTTGTAAAACACATGGATCAATTATTGCTGTACTACCTTCAAATTATTTCTATGCACGACTTACTTTTGGAAAAACAAAAGAAAGTGATGTTCTTATTATTGTATTTAATGAAACTGATGATAATCCAATTGTATCACCAATTATTAGAGTATTTGGAGAATCATTAGAGAAGTATGGGTTATTGAAAGGAACAGAACAAAAGATACCAAAACAACTCAAACAACTTAATTTCGTTGAATTTAATCAATTTGCTTTTGATACAAACGTCGAAATTAGTGAAAGTGAACGACGATGTTCTGCTGTTTTAAAGAAAAACACTACTATTATTAAAGTTTCTGAAGTACTATCAAAAATTCTTTCAAAGGAAGGATTTACTGGAGTAAAGAGAAGTACTGGATTACAATTTGAAAAAGAGAAAGAGATTATCATTGCACATGTTGGTAAGAATAACCAAAATGACATTATAATGAATCTACAATGGAACGAAGAAGTTAAAGAATGGATTCAACTAGCAGAAAGTATAGGAAAAGCATTAGCAGAAAAAGGACAATTGGCTATCTTTGAAAAGCTTGAAGTTGAGGTATAATTGTATTGTTTTCTATTTAGTCAGTTATCTTTAATGTAAAACCCCTTTACTAAAAAGAAAGTAATAAAAGCCAAAAACGAAAGAAGATTATATTTCAAAAGAAATCTTGTGAAAGAAGTGAGTAAAATGAGTAATGACAGTATCAACAAAAACAGTATTTGGAAATGGGTAATAAAAGATAACAAAGATAGTAATGAAGTCATTCAAATGATTGATGAAATGATTCAGAAGAATGTATTTGGTACAAGAGAAACAAATGTATGGATTAAAATACCAATTGATCAAGGAACAATCAAAGAAATTGGTAATAGAACATATCTTATTGTTAATAAGGTAATGTTTAATAATTTTAGTGATGAAGAAAAAAAGTTGGTATTATTAAATAACCAAATACAAGAACAGAAACAAGTCATTACAACATTGGTCAATGAATTGGTTAACATGATCAAAGAAGAAAACCAAAGAAAAATTGTTCAAGTTTTAAATCTTGATATAAAAGATGAGTTAAATCCTCAGTCCTCTCATTTACCTGAAGTAAAAGAAGATTACTAACACGTCAATTAATTGAATTAAGTTTATATAACTACAGTTTAAGTATTGTTTTTTTTTT